GGAACAGTGACAGAGTAGTTTGGTAGTTTTCAGTGGACGCTATCAGGGTTTGCATGGTGATCTCATCTGGGTTAACCAAATTTTAAGCAACGCTACTCAGTGGTGCAACCAGCTGCTAAAACGTAGCCAGTACATAAACTGAGAAGCCACCGTCACAGACTGGTATTACTATACAGCGAGCTAGAGTGTAGATGGAAGTTCTTCTCGCTACCTCTTTGCCACATATGGATTTCACTACCTGAACCGGCTATTTTAGCCAATACATTAAACGTGTTCAAAGATCATGTCGAAAATGCGCTCAGCGTGTTACACCAAAGTCGAATCAACCGACAACCGTTTCTTTGGAAAATCAAAAGTGGTGATATTTTAAGGTGCATAAAACACCTGTGAACCATTCATCAGACGGACAGGTTTTCTCTGCGAGTTCACTGTTTAGGTTGTTCTCTATGGTTGTTCTTTCTTTCTTTTGAAAAAACCAACGCGCCAAACTGTGGGACATGTTAAGCCCGATCCTTTTATTCGCAATGTACCACTAACCATTGAGCGTACTCCTAATTCAGCGATACAAGCTGTTTGAAAACTAATCTTTCTTTTCCACGAAACAGCGCAAATACGCCAGCTGTTTCCGTGTGTGCATCCTTGTGGAATTAAGAGGAGAGTAAAACAGCTGCCGGGCTAACATCACATTTGAAAGCAGTTTGCAAGCCTGCAAGTAAACATCTATAAGATGTCCTATCCAGCCTTAAACTTGGTGCATATGTCATTCCACCCGGGAACTGTACTGTTTATCAAGATCAGATTTGACTTTTGTGATTCATATGGGGTCAAATTGTTGGAGCATGATTAACTTCCGCCATACAAAAATACATAACTGAGGAACTGCCCCCAATGTCAGATTTAACTGGCTAAAGTAGAACGTTGGGTTGAGCATATTGGAAACATTCCGCTGTGCTGGATATCGTTCCCTTCCGCACGTGATTGACTGCTTTAATATGAGATTAAACGGTAGCTTGCACTGTGCCACTAGACAAGAGAGAGTTCGGTCAAAATAGCCTGAGCTGTCATCAAAATGAGGTTACGGAACTGCACCATTGCAGAGCGCATTTCGGAATATTGTTCGCTCTGGCCACCGTGTCTCACGTGTCACCCCGACTCAAACAGACATCTCGCTTGCTCGCCCAAGCCCTCAGTGTAAGACCGTTTTGACTACATTCACAACCGGCTGCCTGAAGACAGTGGCCCTGACCCCATGTCCTGGACTTGTTCACTGCTACGTCTGCGTTCTCCGGAACTGTGCTGACTTCGTTTCATCTTCACATCCTGAGCTTTGGTGTTTGGAACCAGTTCGTGAACAAGAAACTTCTTCCACTCCCCTCATTGTCTAGTGGTGGTGCGCACTTAGACGAGCGGATGGCTGAGGTCCGTGTAGCAAGACATCAATCGTCGATGATTTCAGTTTGCCTACATGTTGCGTGAGTCTAGCCTAAGTGTTGCCCATTTTTGCTACCCTCCCCTCCAAAGCGCAATAGCTATATGCCCCAGCTACGTCTCGGTTAACTATCCATGCCTGCATATTCTCCGAATGCTATGTGCTGATTGCGGTTGACTACTCAGGGTGTAATGGATGGAAATTTCATGACCGAAGGATGATAGGATCTGCCCCGAGGATGCAAGCCGCTGCACTACGGACGCAAGTAAATGCCTTAAGGATGCAATTAATTGAAATAGTATGGTGCGAAGCAAAAGGAGAAAGCAATTTACGCCCCATTGACCATTGGCGTGCCGCACACAGCCTCTGCGGCGTCATACCTAACTCACTTGACTTACGACCTGGCACGGTGGTGATTAGTCAGTGCTAACATAAGCAACAGGCGCAGAGTTTGGCTGAACCGCGCAATACAATGTCATCCATCCACCAGTCGGTAAACAAACGATGTGATGTGCCAACGTCTCTCAGTGAAAGAACTGAAGTCCTACACTCGAAGCTACGTATGAAATGGTCCTTAAATTCATCCATGTGGATGGAGCTCACTGAGCTTCCGCTCAGCGAATGGTGCCCACACTCTTAACATTAACGTGTTGCTTAGATCATTAAAATCCTCAGCTTAACAAGTTGGATTTATCGCGCCTTGGTAGCTGTCATGATCTAGGTTCATGGGCGACGGCTCGCTGGCTCAGCTGTGATATGACAAGTGTCTGGAACACAAGGATTACCGCTTCATTAGTATATACGGTACAGCTAAGGTTGAAAGGGCTTTGGAAGGTATCAGTTCTCAAGTGTAACGCAGTAGCATTAACATGTGTGTGATAGTGTGATAGCGTGATAGTGATAGTGGGCATTCGTTAACATGGGAAGTAGAGTAAGACGGAAATACTGTATGCGAGAGAGCAACTTAAAACGTTGCTGCCATGAACTACAAATCGACAAAGTGCAAATTCGCAATCTGTCATCTTTCTTTATCTACATGTCAGTGCATGGATATATCCAAATTGCTCATTTATTGTTCGTCTGTGCACAACACGTGTGGTTAACTGAAACACTGCTTATAGGCACCGTGCAGCTGTAGCAGAATCTATCAATCAGCCCCAGATCTTACTGACGTTATACATCTCTAGTAATTTTTTGAGGCGCTCACTAATCCTCGTTTAAATAACGCTATGCGAAGCCGGACGTTGTAAAAGGATACCGTTTTGCTTTCTTTGATCGCAAGCAAACGAGTAATATAATACAAAGTCACTGAAGGAAAGAATCACTAGTTTTAATGCTGACGGAAAGTTAGCGAAGACATTCAGCATCATAACTTACAGCATAACCACAGGTGATGAAGCAAGTGTCACGATTCCCACGGAAGCAGGAGGAAAGGAAAGTTATCACCAGTATGCCGGCACTCATTATTGACGCTTCACTGCCGTGCAACTACCACTAGTCACACCTGGGCTGAGGATACTGCGAAGGTCTCCTGGTTCTTACCCAGGCTCAAACTCGAGCCCTCCCAAGGCAGGTTTGTGATCCTTAAAGCTACGGGTCGGAAACATGTGTATCAGTCAGCTGTTTTTGTACATCAAGGCAAGGACGACCGCGATTTATTGTCACAGCCTCAGCGAGCTTAAGCAGTTTGGCATTTAACCTGCGGTAGGTGACCTTAAGCGCCACGTTCGGGTCAACTTGACCTGTAATTAGTAGGTGCTTAGCAATCGATGAGGCTGGCATTTTGCGGCTTGACGCCTGTCGTCGTGTTTGACATGCCGTTGTGGCAGCAAGCCATTTTTGATTATGCTCTACGGTTCTACTAAGCAGACACCGAGGTAACTGCTTCGACAGCTATAGACAAACTGGTAGAAACAATGTGTTGCGGCAGAGATCGGTTCGATAAGCTTGACCGGAAGCGTTGGTAACTTCTTGGTAGTCCAAAGAGGGCGCCGTCTGGCAACGATTAATGTTCGTTGCATTTCAGTGGCTACACGCCACTCTATTTGCTGTACCACGACATTTCCTTGAGATGGCAAGTGGAGACAGGCGGGCAATTTTGGCACGGTAAGGAGCTTTGGTTTGTTCTGTTTCCTCGGGCGGCTGTGGAACATAACATAGGAGTCCGGATGGCCGTTGATGTAGATTCTTTGTTTGCATACTTGTACCAACGGGACAGACAGGCTTCGAGGTTTGTCGACACATGCCTGTGACATGTCATTCTTTCGTTTGTGCTGAATCCCATTCTGACCAAAACGATTTTATCGTTAGTTGTGTGATGATCGTTGAAATCTTGTATTCCTACATTTTAGCAGGTCGGATTCATTCCTGCTCCTATTAGCACCATAGCACATTAAACACTTCAATGTCTACATGCCATCTGCCGATGATTATTTCTCCGCTGACCTTCAAGTATTCACTGACTGGGTCATTAGAACTCACTACTGAGCAACGTCTACAACTCTGGTCACAAGTCGCCGCTGTAAATTTGAGATTGTTGTCAAAGAGCCATGCTTTTCAATCCCCGCCACATCGAGTTTCGCTTGCTTTGTTCTTGTGGGAGACTAGGGCTTTGGAATACCCTGTTTCATCCAATGTCATCGAAAACTACCTAGGAAAACATCCTAAAGTCGGTGGTAATACTTCTAGTGATGTGACATTCAGCTGTGACTGGAATGTTCACAAATAGTGTGCAGGTTGGAAAATCCGAAAAGTCACGTTTCTGTGGGTGCAAGTTTATCACTTTCATGATGTCGATTACGCTAAACAAATAAACTATACATCGTATGTGTGTTGTCATGGTGTGTTAGAACTTAATTCGCCAGGATTCCACATGGCTATAGTGCAAATTGATACTTTGTGAGATCATGTGAAGGCTGGACAGATAGTGCTCATGAATCTCAACGTCATTTATACCCTACACGAATTGCAAACGCTAGTTCTCCTGGTCTTCCTGAATATGTGCGCCGAACAACAGGCAGTGTTCGTCCGCTGCGTTAGATTCGGCGCACTTCTCTCCTGTCTGGAGTCGTGCTAAACAACGATCATGTTAAGATGCATCAATTCTGCGTTGTCCATCCGATCAGCTCAATTCTGACCAAGCTACGAGGGAGGCGCTTGGTTGGATCTGTGTTAACTGGCCCAGCGTCGGATCGATACTCCCAAAGTACTAGTTACCATTACACTTAAACGTGGCTTGAGTCCGAAGTAGATGCTAGGCCCAGCTGCACCACTTATTTTATTACTGGAGATCAATACTGAATACGGCGTGCGCCGATGGGTTTGTGTGGGCTACACACAGCCCAAGCTACTTATGGTTCGTAATGAGTCTGAATACCGGTAGCTCGAGTTGGCGTTTGAATTCAAGATTGGTTTTCCTTGTGGGCATAACTGGTCCTTTGTGGTCGATGTGACAGATGTAGACAATTCTGGAAACCAGTTTCATCAGTTCCGCATGACTTAATACTAACAACGTGGCATTGACTCAAAATTGGTAAACTGGGAGAAGAAATTCATTATCGCGGTTACTTACCAGATTTCGGTAGACTTCGAAAATAACCGCTTTCAAGTGAATATGGTGCAGACGGTATGTTTTGCATAATTCTTTCGATAGTCCGGTTTTGCCAACACCCGGTGGACCGAGCACACAGAGTCGGAGTGGCTGTGAATCAAACAGAAATTGTTGACGGATGTTAGCATAGTGTCTCACCTCGATTCGCATGACTCAGTAGGACTGAAGCGAGAAGAATGTGAATTGTTCAGGTTACAGATAGTATTTCACTTTTCCTCAAAGACCGACTTCTTAACACCGTCGTGATATGCAGTACAACTCCCTCCTCATCCATAGTGTGCTCACTGTATGCTTCCTCGACCTTCGCTTCTTATCACTGTATTTCCTGGGAATACGTTCTATTTTAAAGCAAACCTTATCACCCGCTACGGTGTACGGAAGTTGTGGGACATCTAGCGGCGTTATCAATGAGAGCACCACTGGCTTATTCACAGTCGGGGATAGACGTGTATCGCATTGGAGCCACATTCAAATAGTCGCATTTGGGTAGATCTCATGTATCCAGGAACACAGAGAATGACCGACTCTTCTCCCAAGGTCTCGGCGGTAGCGCACCACCCATCTGTCCACTGAGTGATTAAACCCTACGACACCACTGTTCCGAAACAGTGAGAGTTACTTGGGAGTGGTTGCTTTTAGAATCGACCCAACCCCACATATTTTACCATTCTATCATGTAGGGTATCCTCTAGAGTTGTGTAAAATCCCACGTAGCAGTGTGCACAGGATGTGCCAACCGGCATGTTCCATATTCCGATTGAGCTTTTCGCTATTTGTAAAATGGAAACTACCCGAATCTTATTGGCTCTGCACAGGTTAACGTCGGTGATTGCTCTGGCATTTTCTATTACCGCAAGCTAGTTGGTGACCGGCGGGGAAATCTTGCTTATTGTTGCGAATCTTAGCAACAGAAACGTGCATGGCAGTGGATGTAAAAAAGCATTCTATCACTTGTTATTTGATCACTCATGTCGCCATTTCCATTCATCCGCGGACGCACTACGTAAGTTACTAGATACTAGGTGCATGATAATGGATGTGAATCTCAGATTATCACAGGAAGATAGAATTGCTGACGAGAGCCACTATAACAAAAATGCAAATTACGCTTTCGGAATGGTATTAATAGCATTACTAAACCCAAATGTGATGAAACGACCCGCTTCTATTGAACTCCTTCCACTAGTCATTCAAGAGTCCGTAACTACCCCGGGCTAGTCTGTAGTGCTATCATATCACTGCTGTCTCAACGTGAGACGTTGTGTCGCTGCGTTCTACGCACATTGCGCTAGATCATGGGTTGCCTCACATGGTTACTTTGACACAGCAGCTGCGCCTACTCCATCGCTTGGCTGATCTTGTCTACTATTAGGTCCGCTTCCAGGATCGAACCAACTGTTCGACTAAGTTGGATGACTGAGTACTTCGGCTTACTTTAGATCATCTGAGTAGACTATCTGACTGAGCATAGACACCGTTCCTTCCGTGTCGTGTTTGTCCTTTTGAGGTAACTGTTGTGCGAATGGATTGCGACATGTGATCTCAATCTAAATCGCCATTCATTTCAAAGGGTACCTTGGCCAATCTGTTCACCGAAATTAAATCCGAGGCAGATAGATGTTATGTGTGTGCAGCCTGAAACAATGCAATCCACGAGTTCTTTTCGTACCTATTCACACGCGTCAGGTGGAGAGGCAGTAGTGTGACTCTAACCGGGGAAATTTCCGGTTTTATCCGAAATCTCTGTCTCTAAGCTACCGAGTTGCGATGGACAACGCTTATCACAACGGCAAATGCTTGCGTGGGATCCATCTGAAGTACTCGTTGTGTGGAGATGAATTGCAACGCGCAACCCAACTCACTTTGAAATGAATCTAGGTCAATTTAGCTGCACAACAGCAGCCGAAACATGTACCATAAAACTTGAATTGGTCATCCGTTGTCCTAACCCAGTGGCGTTCCACCTCCACCTAATGCGTCCATAGTCTAAGTGACAGACTAAGGAATCCGAAAAGACGAAAAACTAATGCATTGTTATTGATGCCTCAAGGTGACCGAATTTTGCGGTCGATTTCACATAGACGGATAGTACTCATCTTGGTACAGCCAACTCTGTGCTGAGCCACAAAGAACAATGAAGCAGATCACGAGGACCTGCGTACCCACAACAGTTTTACTGAATATAAGGAGGAGAAGGTGAGGAGAAGGACTCGGGAACAATGCGAAACGAGAAGCAGCGTCCGAGGTAAGGAAACAATCGTTGGGTAGATGTTTGAGTGGCTGGAAAAAGGCCAATTAGAAAAGGCATCTTGAGCTCATGGTTGAGGCACCCGGCAGCAGCCCATGTCATCCACGTAGTCTGTTTCGAGTCCGCTTCCACAGGCCAAATAAAACCAGCTCGTTGGAAATACGGGTGTGGGGAAAGCTCCGTGAACTGTGTTCACCCGCGGCTTCGCATATGCTGGTTGTTTTCGATCAATTGACTGATATAGCCACACCAAGACACCGACACCGACGACATCAACCTTTTAAGATGGAATTCAGTCGCAAAGAGGATCAAATCGAGACGTAAATCACAAGTACCTCACTGAATAGGTCACTGGTTAGTGATTTTCTTGGTCGTGGGCTTGCGTAGATGGTAGATATTATCCGATCACAACAGTGCACCTGATGACCTGTTTCACGTTTGTTTACAGCTAAAGCAAGAGCGAAACATTTTGCGGTTCGGAACACCTTTTAATATGATCTATTAAGCAACCGATCTTGGGAACCCGTGCTAGGAATTGGTTAAACGTACAATGTATAGGTCCCACACAGTCCAAGTGGACCAACGGACCTGAATCTACTTTAAACTTGCTGTGCAAACTGAAACTACACGTCGTGATCCATACACACAAGGAGCACTACAAAAGCTCACAATGAACGAACCTTGTGCTCACATTTAGTGTACACAACCCTCTGTATGTTTTCTGCTGTCAACGAGGGTACGCATGTCACTTTCCAGCGGTTGGCGAATCGGAAACAAAACTCGGCCGTATGACAGGAGAAAGAATTCCCTAGCATGCACTGCACAACCAAGCAATCAACTCGTCAAGGTTTGGTGCTAAACATTTACGCACTGCAGTTACACATTCTTACAAAGAGTTCGGATGATCAGACCTGCCAGCGCAGGTGTAAAATTGTACATAAAGTCTGATTGGCACTTCTCGTTACGAACGACCTGACGCAACTCTGCTAGTCAAAGTTTTATGCTAAAAAATAGTATTGGTTCTCAAAACCTTATTTCGCTGGTAAATTTACAGTGGATGGCAAATACCGTTCTCCAACAATTTGGCGCTTCTTAGAACCACAGGCAGTGGATTGGGTTTGTGGAATTCGTGCGTTTTACTCACCATCAAACCGTTAGCTTCCACAAATTCGGACGTCACACGGGAAATATTTTCCACTAGACCGTTCTCGCAAACCCAACGGACTTGCATTTCTTCTTTAATCGTGACTGCGTCGATTCTCAGGTCCATGGTGAGTTGATCCAATGTGCGTTGCTGTAAAGAGAGAAAGGGAAAAGGTAAGGCATACCCTCAACTACGGGGATAACAGCTGATACCCGAAGGGCAGCGTTACAACAGTGGCGACGAAGTCTCCAATCGAACCCAGAAATGGCGGTCAGCTTCGAACAAGTACATGCACTTTTTCAACTGCAGCAGACGCAGTTCGAAAAGTCACAGAGGCAGTTGATCGAATTGTTATCACGAAGGTTAAACATTCAAGTAGAATGGGAACCGGAACTGAAACTGACAACGCAGGAAATTTGCATCCGAATGCCAGAGGCTGCACAGCTTTACTCGTTGCACAAATGCGGTTGCAACATCGGAATCCAGCGAAGAGCAACACTTATGCCACACTGCCACTTCCAAAGTTGATGGGTCCATCAGACGGAATTATGCGATGGTGGAAATCACTGGAAGTCAGATTACGCAAATGAAAAGACGCCACGAAACAATCTTCCAAACTGGTCCAGAATGCTGCAGATTGACCAGTGCTGCCCTGAATCCCAAGCTAGTCACTGAACCAGTGGCTAAAGCACAGCGTTTTGCGCCAAGCAGGAAAGAAAAGCATTGCAGTTATCATTTGGGGGAACTTCGGACAGACAGGGTCCGTTGTTTCAAAATTGGGGACATGGTGCAAGCGCGACACTTCCGAGGACCGAGGAGTTGGTCGACAGGAAGGGTGATCCGCAGTGATGGTAGAATCATCTATGAGCTAATGGCAGGAAGGGAGAAATGGGTCAAGCACGCCAGTCCGCTGAAACCGAATTACGGCAAGTCTCAAAATCCTCTAGAACCGCGATACTTACCGTGGGACATTTTGCTAGATATGTTTGACATGGAAGACGAGGCTGGGCTGCTATGTGGATCACGCCAGAAGCTGTAAGCCCCATATGACGAACAATGCAGGCCAACCCGAAAGCGGAGACCACAATCATGCCTACAAGTTGACCGCAAGAAAAAAACCTATGAAAAAAGTCGAGTTCGTACGATATGCATGCAAACTCAATTCGTAAGGGGAGATACTCGGAGGCCGCAACCTCATAACGTGACATGTTTTCGAGACGTCTGTCATCATTACAAGGGTTGCCACCTGGCCGGTGGTAGCACGGCTAAATCGCGCGGGAACCTGATGAAATTAGCTCGTCAGCATGGCACAGGTTGCTACGCAACGGCGTGAGTGAGCGCGACTCCAACTGGCCAGTGCGGTCCGCTAGCAGGTATAGAATATGTTCAAGCAACTGGCGTGAGTCAGCTAAGAACGTTCAGCCGGAGCTAATAGCAGGTGACATAAAAATAACCATGTTCTGTTACAAATGTACTTCGGTCTAGCAATCCCTGGTGTTTTTCTTTGGTCCCGGCTGGCTTGACGTCGCAGAGAGCAGAGGTGAAGGCAGCGTTAGAAAAACAACGCATGGGGCGAGGATGTCGTAAGTTTAGGACGATTAGTGGGAAGAACGTCCACATGAAGACAGTGGGCATACGAATGAACGTAACTCAGTTCCCCGGTAAATAGTTTGCTACAGAATTTTGCTTATGAAACATGCCAAGTAGTTATTACACGATACCAAGGCCTTCGAATACGGAAAGGCAGCTGGCTAACACACATCAGGATAATAGAGACCGGTAGCTAACATATGTGCTCTTTAGCCACCTGATCATCATAGTTGTACCGGATGGACCCGTCTCAGTCCTTAAGGCCCTCCGAAACTAGTTTCCGGGATACTAGTTCTCAAATGACCTCTCTGTGCTGACGTTAAATCCCGTATTTCTTTGATGCCGTTAGATGGTCGTTGCACTTCGCCAAATTTGTTATCTGATTGACATAACTCACGGGTGATTACGAAGTTCTCTGGTGTGAATAGCTTGCCGATAAGCGCTATATTGTCGTACATCAAACACCAAAACGTGATCCAGACATCAAAATGGGAACGGCTGCAATACCATGCGTTCTTTGAGAGGAGCCCTGGGGAGTGGGCTAAGAGGATTACTTGATGATCGTAAGAAATTTAGATTTTCTCAGAGTTCTCGCTGATGTTCTTGGAAAAGTGAACATACGAAGTTGGATGCGTTGTTGAAATGGTTGCGACTTTATATTGACAACTGATGCGCTGGGATTACCAGGTATTACCTGACACCTACCACTAGCACAACGACCTTACATCTCGCAAATTAACATACTAATGTCGATGTATGAGTAAAGTCAAAGGTGGTCCCTGCAACTTTTATTCGCACAACAGATACTGAGCAAGTCATTGGGAAGGCTGCAATTTCTCCAACTAAATGATAATCCTTACTTGCACAGTGTGGTAAAGGCAAAAGCCAAACGAGTCTTCCAGATTCAGGTAATAAATGTAGTTTTTCTCTTCTGTAATCAGTAAGCAGACCAAACTGCTTATAATGCCATAAGTTAATTGGCGGTTTAAGTTTGGTAAGCTCGTCGCTTGGTGAGGGGGCTACCCTGTCCTATGCACGGTAGCAACGTGTAAGTCAGTGCATAGTGAGCGGCGCTATATCACATCTAGTAACTTATTCACGATGGTCGTTGCCGTCTCCCGTAGCTCAGTGGTCTCAACCAAGGACTAGCAACAGTTGAGCTGCGGGTTCGAGCCCTACCAGGGGTCAGATGGAATGCACACTGCTGATGATTCCCGAAAGGATGAAACGCGCGTACAGTGGTTTTCCGGGCGTGTGACGGCTGTCTGAGTGAGTCTAGATGTGACGAATTTCTACCTATACCATTCAACTCCCCTACAACTCTTCTGTAAGCGTCATTTTGCCGGATCTTCACCAATTTTGATTGAGAAAACGAAACGACGAGGGATGACCTTGCTTGCTACCATCCACCTCGCCAACGTATTCACCCGCGCAGAGCGTGGGGCTTTGGACGGAAGCCAAACGATGGGGACTCGCCCCAACGGTAGGCGATGCGGTCACAGCATCTGTCATGGAGTTTGCACATGCCAGTGGACGCGCTACATTCGAGGCAGTGCCTAGGGATTCGTGATGGAATCGGCCAATAAGTACACCCCGGGCTGGGAGGAATTATTGCAGACACTAAAGTACAGCGAATGTAGCAGCGAAACGGCTGGGTTAGTGCTGTCTCCAGCCAAAGCGTCCAACCACAACGTGCATGCTGACATAAACACACAACGGTTACTTGCACACTGCACAGAAATGCGCGCACACGTAACGGTTAGATGCATTTCCACTGGTTCCTTCGCCTCATCTGACATGTCAAACGGAGGGTCCCTTGAGAACCGGGAGAGTCACATTGGTTGTAATGAGGGGTAGGCATGACAACTGATATATGTAAACATATATTCATTATTTTATTTACTCAAATGTTAATCATCCGCATACTCCCCGTCCAATTTGCGCATTTTTATTTCGTTCCTTTTCTGTGTTAGTTGGTTGAGATAGTCTAAAATGCATTTATGCTTTACCTAGATTACTTTTCCACCAGATCTGAACTAACACACATATTTTGAATTACCAAGTTCTGTCTTTCTATCTCACATTTATCGTCCAGTTTGGGTGTACTTCTTATTTCATATTCTGCGTTTGCTGTTTGACATCCCCGGTGTGGTTGCGCTTTATGCGAATACCGACAATCTACTTACCTGGCTAAAAGTTGCCATCTCGATTATACTGGCTCCAGGAGAAAGTTGATTATTGCTTGGGGAGACAGGGTGCATGGTCCTTGTAGCCATGCTAGGCCCGAAAACTGGTTCCATACAACCAGTGTATGCATTATTCCCAAATTTGATGGACAGGAATGTTGCTGCTGTGAATGTTGTAGGAGTGTGGGCCGGTTTCGTTGATGAAACGTGGCTCCCATCCACACACCTGCCGGTCTGATTCCTTCCGGTTTACACTGGATTTAGGATGTGTGGATGGAGCACCATGTGGTGCTGCGAAAGCCACCCATGGTCCGTCTGTGGTTGTAGCATCGAGGCTACAGTGAACTACAAGTTCACAACCCAATGCCACCTACCAAATTTAATATATCTATTTAGTTACATATACTTGTAACTCTAATTGACCAATATACAGCTCATAGAGAGTGGGATCACTGAAATGTCTCCTTCTTATACATCCCACAAGGCAACCTCCGATTTTAATCTCCAACACATACTACTGACAACTACTATGAGACTTAATAACTCACCGGCACTTCCTCTGCTCGTACCAATTCCGCTGTTGGTAAGTAGAGTGTCGTTCCCCTCGATAGTTGAGTGGAGATGGCCTGTTTTGAAAGATAGTGGAATTGGGTGAATAGAAGCAACTGAGTTCATCTACTGAAAGTATGTAGTAAAACAAATAGCACTTTTCGCCACCGCAATCCCGTTGTGCTGTTGTACTATCTGGATACTCCGGCATAGAAATGCACCTGTCAATCTTATTGGCTTCATCTAGTAAACCAGCCAAGTTCTATGGATACAATAAAGCAAATGTGGATTAAACGGATACATCGATTACAGTTCCAGTAAAGCCGGCCTACCTATTGGTCGTAGGTGCGAGACACTGCCAGTACAAACCTTCAAGCTAATTGTTGCTGAATTGTACGAGAGCATAGCTATATCCAAGACACAAGGAACAGCAGGTTTAGTTTGGGATGAAGAAGGCAAGTACAACAAAGATTGCGAAGGTAATGTTAAATAATGCTATCATTCATAATGTATATACTCGATTACACAGGACACGCCAGATCAGGCACGATCGGACCATACAAGCTGATTCTCATCTCATGCCGTCGCACAGAGACTGGACCTTAACATGGTGCAAGGGTTTGAGTACCTAATTGGCCAATTGAGCTATACTGGGTGGTGGCTTCAGGCCCCTTGAGTGCTAGTCCTACCAGCCTGGTCAATGGTGAGAGGTCAAAAAACTCAGTGTCCTGGTCCTCCAGGTTGGGGGTCTGAAACAGGATGGCGTCCATGTCTGTAAAAGTAAATCGTTGCCACCTTCCCTCTGCTTTTCGGACAGCTTTTTGAGCCAAAGGCTTTGGATGAGGATCCTAATCGTCCTTCTGTGTAGGTCTGGGTGCCCTGGCAGTATCTCAGCCCACATACAACCATGATATTTTCTTCAAACATAAACTTCATTCTTCATCGGCCGTCACGCAGATTATCAAGGGTCGCCTTGTCTGCTGCATACAGCAGGGCGGATAAGCGAAGACATGCTACGGCTGGCGCCTCCCTTCTTTCTTTTCCACCTTTTTCTCTTAATTCCATCCCGACCCCCCATTATTAACCTTCATTCCATAATTCCCAGCTTAATTGACAGTAACCGAAGTGCCACTGGAGTAGAACCATCTGTAGTCACCTTCCCACAACACCCATCGGACGCTTGTCGGCAACAGCCACTTATAATGCCACGCTGTCCAGTTTCCATGGCGGCCTTCCACGTTCGCACTCTAAGACAATTAGGTCAACAGGCTGCGTTGGCACGCACCTTGAGCACACTGGGTAATGATGTGTGCTGTGTGTCCGAAACTAGGATCAATGACTGTAACGGGGTTATTGAATTAACTGCACCTGGCTTATCCTCTCGTTATTGGTTGCACGCATCCGGAGACGCCGATGCTGCACTCATGGGTCAAGCCGGTGTAGGTATCATCCTAAGCTCCAAGGCTGAACCATCGTTGGTTGATTGGATTCCGGTGAACAGCCATTTATGTGCAGCCCGTTTGAAGACATCAGTTAAGGCTGACTCACGAAGTAGTAAAAAACGCTGTTTGTTTGTGCTTTCCGCTTATGCTCCCACCGACTGCAGTTCAAATGCTGTTAAGGACATATTCTATCACGAACTGAATGCGCTACTCCGCAGTGCTACTAGTTCAGATATTATAGTACTTGCAGTGGATATGAACGCACAAGTAGGGCGTCTGACCTCTTCAGAAGGTCAGCTGGTAATTATGGGTCTAATTCCGAACGGACTGAAAGTGGCGAGCGTCTGCTGCAACTGTGCGCGGAGCACCAGTTGTTTCTTAGTAGCACTGCTTTTAGAAACAGTGGGCACCGAAGTGCCACTTGGCGTCCCCCTGTGGCTGGCCATCGATGGACCCAAAATGACCACATGTCAGTAAGTCACAGGGGGCGCGCTTCCATCCTGGATTACCGCTCGTACTTGAGTACCTGTGTCGACTCTGATCATGCCCTGGTAAGCTGTCGTTTCTCCATGAACTTAAACTGGAAGCGCACCAAGCGTTTCCTCTAATTGGCAACTGAGAAATTGTCACCGCTCTCTGTCAGGCAAGCCTATCAAGAGGCACTGCGTACCGAACTTTCGCTGTCTTGTCCTAATGACACTGAGCTTCAGTGGAATAAGATCTCGGCCGCCATGCACGACGCAGGAGCATCTGTTTGTGGCACTATCCATCGTCACCGCACCAGTCACTGGATATCCGAGAGGTCGGTGAACCTGTTGGAATCTCGGCTGGCTCTGAACACATCGTGACCAGACGGGCTATTAGGTGTGAACTAAAGCAGAGCCTACGTGCTGACAAGGAAGCCTGGTGGACCAGTCGGGCTCAAGAAATGGAGGAGGCAGCAGCAGTAGGCAATTATCGCAAGCTCTTTCAGCTAATCCGCTCCACTGGTCCCAGTAAACCAGGCGTCAGTGAGACAATCAAAGACAGCGCGGGTGCACTGGTACACAATAAGGAAGGCCGGTATGGCTCGTTGGGCGGAACACTTTCGAAAAAAGTTCAGCTGGCCCACGGACCTCTTCCTACTCAAATGATGCAGGACGAGCCATGGACGCTTAGTTTAGAGCCTCCGCCGGAGGCCGAGGTCCGAAACGCGATTACAGCCCTCAATCATTTTCGTGACGCTGGCCCGGATTCCTTCCAACCTGCAGTATTTAAGGATGGCGATGAGGTCCTCTGCAAAGCACTGGCCCCCCTATTCCAACGTATCTGGAAGGAAGAGAGTGTCCCAGCCAATGGGAGCGAATCGATTATAGTAGCAATATACAAGAAGAGCAGTCGCACAGACTGTTCTAACCACAGCGGTAGTAGCCTAATGCCGGTTGTGACAAAAGTGCTTGCCTCCATTCTCGTTCATCGTCTCACTGCGGAACGGGAATCTTGGATTAGGGAAGAGCTAGCCGGTTTCCGCCCAGGGCGTGCCTGTATAGACCATATGTTCATTTTGCGACAGGAGGTAGAGCAGCGCCACGCATACCACATACCGACAGTAGTTGTGTTCCTCGATTTTAAGGGTGCATTCGATTCAATCGTTCGATGCATTCTGTTCGAAATATTTGCGCGGAAAGGTGTTCCCACGAAAAATTTGAACACCCTTCGTGCTCTATACTCGAACACTACAGGCCGCGTCAGGGTCTACGGTGTCCTGTCGGATAGCTTTCCGACCACAGGTGGCGTTCGTCAGGGTTGTCCGATGTCCCCATTTTTGTTCAATTTCGTCGTGAATTCTGTAACGGAGTTTTCGCTTGCTGAATCACACGATGTAGACGTTGAGGTCCTGCCTGGTGGAAGGCTAGTTGAGCTTGATTATGCGGACGATATCATCCTGCTTTTCGACGGTGCTGTGGCGGCACAACCAGCCCTGAATAGTCAGACTAGAATGGTCCCATTATTTGGTATGCACTTCGCACCTTCAAAGTGTGAATTGTTGCTGCAGGACCACCAGCCACTTGATGACTGCTTGACACTTGCTAACTAGGAACTCGAGGTGGTTGATCAATTCACTTATCTTGGCAGTTGCATCAGCAACGATGGGCGCATAGAAACTGAATTCAGTTCACGCAATACAAAAGGCCAGAACTGCCTTTTTAAAACCCGCGGTATCCTTGGTAACATGAGGAAGTTTCCCTCCGTCTGAAAGGCCGTGTATACAAGGCCACAGTCAGGACCATCCTGTTCTATAGTAGGGAAACTTGGTCGCTTCGGTCTGAAGATCTGAGGAGCCTTTAAGTTTTTGGTCATCGTTATCTGCGAAGCGTTGCTGGTGTCGGATGGCATCACCTTGTCCGCAACGATGATGCGCGCAGGCGAGCACTAGGAAGTGATAATCATGCTAGCTACCTAGAACAACAGATAGCACTGAATAAGTTGCGTTGGCTCGCGCACGTGCTATGCATGCCTGGTCACCCGCTTACCTAGGAGGGGTTAATTAGTCTGCCAGGTGTAGGATGGCGCAAGGCTCGAGCTGGACGGAACTTGACTTGGCAACGGGAAATGAAGTCACTGACAAACAAACTGGGTGCCGTTGGTCCGTCTCGCCTTCCGGGCTGGAGTCCACATGGCTCGCCTTGTGCTTGGCTCGGGAATTTACAGGACATGCCTCGCAACCGACACCAGTGGCGCGTCTGTTGCCGTCTCCTAGTCGGATTGCCTGTTTAAAGTGTGTTTGGTGCTGAGTTATCTGCGGGGTAATGGCTGATTATGACGCGTGGCAGTGAAAGCCGCAAGGAAGCTGTCTAGCCGATGGCGCCTTATCTTTGCACGATAGCCAGCTGTTTGTGATGATATGTTGTCTACACAGGATGTAGGCGCCTTGTCTCTGTATGTTTGTTAAAAGCATTAAGGTTTTCAGGTAAGTCTCCCTTCTCTCCCTCTTATTATTCTTTATTCCATAGGTTATCATGTTGTATGGCAGCGAAGCATCAGTTTAAATAGCTGACGTACTGCTGTTGTTGATTGATTGAGACCATTTCATGTGACACAGAAAAAGAGCAATAGTGACAAGGATGTCCTCAGGAGTTAGATAACGCCAAGAAGTTTCAAAACATGGTAGCTTGCTCATTGACTTTAGTTCGCTCAAACGTATTTAAGCTTCTTTACAGCTATTATCCGGTGCAAAATGGAAATGTTTGGCCCAAGATCCTCAACATTGGCATCCAAAACAATGGGTGATTCTATCGCGGGGAGAACGAAAGATGCCCATTTTATTTAGTCAAATAATCGATATGATGTGCGACGAATTCGATGCGATCAGCACAGTTGGCCGGACTGGACTTGCCTATATAAGTGAAGATGGCATGCACTCTACGGATTTCCCTGGAGGACGAACCTCGCCTCTAGTTTTACGGGCCAATTTGATTAGTGGGGCAAAAATCCCTTCTTGTTTGGCAAGCACAGACTAACTACATCCCCTGAGATGTTAAAGTTATTCATTCAGTCGTCTCTTACACAGTTTCTCCCAACAGTACATTTCTACTGTCCCACGCAGGTAGACCACTGGTACTCTGTAGTGCCCTGGTTCTTGTACAAAGACGGAT